AAAAAAAAAAGAAATATTTATCCCATTTTAGCTCGCTTTCTCTTTACACAGCTTTTTTTGTAACTATTATTTTCAATTTTCTTTACATGAAGAATGTCCTTTGACATTGATGATGGTACTTCATATATATTGGGTCAAGTAAGTGAATCATTGCTTTTATGATGTGAAAGTTCTTCATGATTCATTGTCGAACATTCTTCTTTGATATTATCTGGTCTTCCATTTTTATGCATTGTACAATGCCTATAAACACACACATACACATCAGTCTTAGTTTTTTATCTAAATAATATAAAATAGTTATCTAACCAAATATCTTTTGCATATTCTTCAATTGTTCGATCCGATGAAAATTTAGCAGCTGCTGCAATATTATAAATACATTTTGAATACCATATTTGATGATTAAGAAAATCTCGTGATACTTCACATTGTTTATCAATATAAGCTTGATAATCACCTAATACCATCCAATGATCTCCACCAGTTAATAATGTACTAATAATATCATGAAATCGTGATCGATCATCAGGTGAAAAATATCCATCACGTATTTGATCAACAGCAAGACGTAATTCTTCATTTTTCAAACTTTCATATGGATCATAGCCTTGTTGTCGTCGTTGTTGTACTTCTTCAACAGTAAATCCAAATGTATACATATTTTCAGCTCCACATTCTTCACACATTTCAATATTTGCTCCATCTAATGTTCCTATAGTTAATGCACCATTGAGCATAACTTACAGAAAAAAAATAATCAGTTTTTCTTTTTTTCTTTTTTTAGACAAAAAAAAAGATTTTCTTTAAACGTACATTTCATATTGCCTGTACCACTTGCTTCTGTTCCTGCTAATGATATTTGTTCTGAAAGATCAGCAGCTGGAATAATATATTCAGCTGCTGTTACTCGATAATTTTTTACAAATAATAATTTTAATCGATTGCCAATATGTGTATCATTATTGATTACTAATGCAACATCATTAATCAACTTGATAATTTTTTTAGCAATTGCATAACCTATGAAAAAAAAA